CATAGAGTGACAGCCCAAACAAATTTAGCAGATAATAAACGTCCAATCCAGTATATGTTCCATTAGCATCCAGCAAAAATCAACACCGTGCTGGACTTGTGGTCCCCCTCCCTGGTCACCTTGACCATTGACCTATGAATTATAATAGGCTAAAAACACGCTTTATATGGAAAATGTGTCTCCAAATTTCTGATCCGTGACGTGTTCCTTCCATGTATTATGCTTCTTTAAACTCCAGATCCGTGCAAAATAAAATACAAACATACATAGTGCAACACCATTTTATATAACCAAAAATTAAACGTGTTACAATAATCACTCACATTAAACAAATTATATGTGACTCCAAATGATGGTGAACATATATGCATTATCCATCGTGCCGACTATGCACCATGTACTCACCTTATTCCCTGACCTAACAGATAGGTCATACACGCTTAGGGATGAAACCAGATTCTGCTTATCCACTGCCGATCCTTAGTAGCTACTTCATTAGTTCTGGCTCTTTAAGGGAACATGCTCTCGGATATCCAGTGGAATAAAGGTGTATATGATCAAAGATAAAGAGAATAGATCATAGTGCAACCCCATAAAATATGAACACTTTATTCAAATAAAAAATGCACTCACAAAAGTAATAAATCAAAAGCATATCATAGCCATCAATCTAAATGGTTCCTCATATCACTCATGCCAGTTTGAGCATGACCAGAAGTGACATCACTAGGCTCCGCCTGACATGTTGCGTCACAGGTGAATTCAATCCTGATGTCAGGTGCAACCTGTGTGTATGGTGCACCTACCCGGTGATGGAAAACACCACAATATAGTCGGCATGATGGAGTAATGCATATATGTTCACCATCGTTTGGAGGCACATATAATTTGTTTAATGTGAGTGGATATTGTAACACATTTAATTTTTGGTTATATAAAATGGTGTTGCACTATGGTATGTTTTTGTTTTATTTTGCATGGATCTGGAGTTTAAAGAAGCATAATACATGGAAGGAACACATCACAAATCAGAAATGTTGGAGACACATTTTCCTTATAAAGCGTGTTTTTGGCCTATTATAATTTATAGGTCAATGGTCAAGGTGAGCAGGGAGTGAGGTCACAAGTCAAGCACGGTGTTGATTATGGCTGGATGTTAATGCAACATATACTGGATTGGACGGTTATTATCTGTTAAATTTGTTTGGACTGTCACTGTGTGCTTTCAAAGCTTTTGGTTCTATTTATGATGAGATAATGCCCCACATTTTTTTTAGACCCTACAATATACTTCTTGCGGACTGACCATCGAGCACTCTGGCACTGCCCGAGGGCTTGGGGTCAGTAGGGGGCCCCATGAAATGCCCCTGATACCTTTTTTATTGGCCTTTTTGGGTGTGCTTTGAGTGTGGGCAAGGACACAGGGGCCTCATGATCCCTATTGCCCGGGGCCCCATGAGTTGTCAGTCCGCCCCTGCTTCTTGCATTTGCTTCTTTTTGGTCTTTTCAATTTACCATTGAAAGAATGTTGTTATATCTCTTGTATAAATGCAAAGCCCACTCATTTTTTTTGCTTCCCCACTGGAAAAGTGAAATGTGGTGGAATACTATCTAAATATCGATATTTTCACTGACGCAGCACACAAATTTATAGGATTGTGTTTGGTGTCGGCAACTGTTATTTTAGAGTATCACATATAGCCACCTGCAAGGATGCACAGATTCTACATATTCTACAGACTAGGACTAGGACCAGCAGAGAGGTAGCACTTACATACCCTTTAAGAAACTAGGTCTGAGGTTCAGTCAAAAACAGAAGAAAGACTCACAGAGGACAAAGTATTTTGGCAGTCAGATGAAAGCTAATTAAGGAAATCCGTAACACACTTATAAAACAAATTAAAAACACTTACATCTATTATAGTCTCATAAAATATACTTTGTGTATAATGAAAATTGTTCTTATTCCATTACAGATTTAAACCACATCACATAATAAAAGATTTGTGATGAAATGGAAATATGTAAAAAACAAAACAAGAGAAAAGCGGCACTGTGTACCTCATTGTGTGTTTCTGGTGAACAGAAGGAGTTCTGTGATTTTTGAAAATGAGAGAAGAGAGAATAAAAAAATAAAGTGCTCATGATGTGTGAACTGTGGTAGACAGAAATATGAAATGAAACCAGACATAATGTGTGTAAGAACAGAAGGATAACAGCATTGTCTCCCGTATGGTGAGCTCAGGCAGAATCTTGTCTTTGGTGCTTGTTGTTTCTCTTCATGCTTACTCCCACCTTGGTCATCCTCAACTAAGACAATGATCACGTAAGGTCTTCTGCTAGGAGTGAAAGAGAGAGTGCTGACATATTCTGTCAGGATATTTATGGTGAATGTTAATAATGCATACGTGTCCTATGCAATCTTTGCAGAGGTTTATAGGCCAGCAGGAACCTCAGCATAAAGGAGCTGAGTATCACTGACTTTTTGGATTGTGTTCGATGCCTGCATCCCCCATTGCAGGCTGTGGATCCACGCGTCAGCTGTTATATCACTGTTATATCACTACTGTGTCTCTGACAGTTCATCGTAGCTTAGCAAGAGAGCAAAGACTGAAGCCATGGGAAGACTGTTAAGTATCATTAACATTATTTACTGGCAGTGTTCTTTTTTATTAGCGACACAGGCACTAGAAAATAATTATTAGACAAATTCACATTAGTTCTGATACCAGTGGCGCATACCCTCTAAGGTCCTTGAAACAGCTCTAAACATGCTCAAGGAACATCCTGTAACATTTGGTTTTTGGCATACTATGTTTCAGCAATATTATCTCCATCCCTCGTTCATGCCTTGAAACTCACAGGGTTTGATTTATTTAAACTAAAGAATGCAAAATCTGGGGCAGCTCTGCACAGAAACCAATCAGCTTCCAGGTTTTTTTGTCAAAGCTTAAAGGACAGGTTCATCTTTGGGAACATGTTACATGTTCCACCCCCTTTTTAGGGTGGAACATGTAACATGTTCCCATAGCTGCAGCTGCGCCCACCGCCCACCCTCCCTCTGACAGATAGTATGGGGAGAAGATTCCCCGTACGATCTGTCAGATTTGAGAACAGAGCAGCCCGTGCGAGGCTCCACCCACAAGGCCGCATCGCTCATTCACAGAATTCAGTGAATGAGTGCCTACAAGTCCCAGAAGCCTTAGCAGATGTGGGCTTGTAGTTTTCAATTAACTACTACGACCCTGTGGAGCACCGTGGTAGTTCATTGAAGCTCCCTGTCAGTATATCTGCTTGGCCTACATCCCGTACGGCAAGCGGATATTCTGACAGGTCTGCTTACGGTTGCCGTCACAAAATCCATATTAATTACACAGGTTCTGAAGCTAATTTAATGTGTCTAAGGCTTTTCCCGGATGAGATTTAAAATCGTGTGTTTTGTTTTCTGAAGATTTCCCAGCGATTTCTTGCGTTTTCCATTGCGTTTGCATTGCGATTTCTATTGTAGTCTATGTATGTGAAATCGCAACAAACTGCAGAAAAAGTAATACAAGAGCTACTTTTGAAATCGCGCTGCAGCAAGTCACATATGTTAAGACACTCACATTCACACTCATTAGGTACGATTTCAATTCCTAAATCGCACCTGAAATCGCTGCGGTGTGAACCAGGGCTAAGTGAGTTTAATTAACATCTCAATCAGCCACAGAACCTGTGTAATTAATATGTGTTTGGTTTTAAAGGGATGAGGTGGCAACCCTATCTGTAAGAGACCTGCATGGCATCAGCTATCTACTGATTGCTGGTGCAATGCTTTCCAAGCTCCTGCAGAAGAAAATAATAAATACACATTTTTTTACCTACAAAAAAATGTACATTCATTATTTTTGTCAAAAAGGTGAACTTACATAGTTACATAGTTAGTCTGGCTGAAAAAAGACAAATGTTCATCCAGTTCAACCAAAAAAAAAAATAATTGTAATCCTATACCCATAGTTGATCCAGAGGAGGGCAAAAAAAAACAGCAAAGCATGATCCAATTTGCTCCTGCAAAGGAAAAAAAATCCTTCCTGATCCCCCGAGAGGCAATCGGATATTCCCTGGATCAACATTACCTATAAATGTTAGTATCCAGTTATATTCTGTGTATCTAAGAAATAATCCAGGACTTTTTTGAAGCAATCCACTGAGCTGGCCAGAACCAACACTTGAGGGAGTCTATCCCTTATCCTTTAGCCCTGGTTCACACTGATGCGGTGCATAATTTGCAGCGTTTTCTGTGCGAATTCTGCACCGCATCAAAATCGCACCCCATTCATGCGAACCATGTGTATGTTAACAACACCCCGAAAGCGGCCCGCAAAACATGGTGCGATGTGCAGAATCGGATCGCATAGGTGTGAATACCCATGCAATCTGATTCTAGTGCAGACCCAAAAAAGGGTCCTGCACCTTTTTGGTGCGGGTGCGGTGCAATTAGAGTCAATATATGGCTCCAATCGCACCGCACACAATTCGCATGTGATTTGCACAGGAATGCAGTACGGTATCTGTGCGAATCACATGCGATATACCGCACCGCATATATGTGAACCCAGGCTGAAACTTATCCTTCTATCCTTAAACTTAACCTTTAACCTCTTGCCAACCGCGCATAGCCGAATGACGGCTTCACCGCGGCCGGCCAGTTCTGGGTGGACGTCATATGACGTCCTCCCAGAACGCACTCTCCTGCGCGCCCCAGGGGGCGCGCACCCGGCGATCTCCGTGATCGCTGTGTCCTACGGACACAGCTGATCACGTGATGTGGTAAAAGGCCAATCACAGCGGCCTTTTACCACGTGATCAGCGGTGTCCAATGACACGCTGATCACAGGGAAATGCAAGTGCCGGTTCTCGGCTGCACTTTCCTCGCGCTGTCAGATCGTGAGGAAAGTACTGCCGAGAAACCGGCAGTTGTCAGAGCGGGGATCGGCACCGATCATCAGGGCACTGATGATCAGTGCCCTGATGATCGGTGCCCAGCAGTGACACCCGCAAGCTCCGCCCAGCAGTGCGCCCACTAGCTCCGCCCACCCCCATGCCCAGCAGTGCACCCACCTGTGCCCAGCAGTGCCCCCACCTGTGCCCAGCAGTGCACCCACCTGTGCCACTCTGCAGTGCCACCTACCTGTGCCCAGAAGTGCCACCTACATGTGCCCAGCAGTGCCACCCACCTGTGCCCACCCACCTGTGCCCACCAGTGCCACCCACCTGTGCCCACCAGTGCCACCCACCTGTGCCCACCCACCAGTGCTGCCCACCAGTGCCACCCACCAGTGCAGCCCAGCAGTGCTGCCAGTCAGTGCCACCAGTCAGTGCCCAGGGGTTGTGCCAGTCAGTGATGCCAGTCAGTGCCGTCTATCAGTACCCATAATCAGTGTCACCTATCAGTGCCGCCTATCAGTGCTGCATATCAGTGTCGCCTATCCGTGACCCCTAATTAGTGCTGTCTATCAGTGCCGCCTATCTGTGCCACCTCATTAGTACTGCCTATCAGTGCCCTTTAGTGCTGCCTATCAGTGCCCATCAGTGCCGCCTATCAGTGCCCATCAGTGCTGCCTCATCAACGCACATCAGTGAAGGAGAAAAAATACCTGTTTGAAAAATTTTATAAAAGAAACAAATAAACTTTTTTATTTTTTCAATTTTTTTTGCACTTTTTTTATTTATAGCGCAAAAAGTAAAGCGCCCAGTGGCAATTAAATACCACCAAAAGAAAGCTCTATTTGTGAGAAAAAAATGATCAAAATGTCATATGGGTACAATGTTGCATGACCGCGCAATTGTCAATCAAAGTGCGGCAGCGCTGAAAGCTGAAAATTGGCCTGGTAAGGAAGGGGGTATAAGTGCCTGGTAGGCAAGTGGTTAATTGAACAAGCTGAAGTTAGAAGCTGATTGGCTACAATACACAGCTGCACCAGATTTTGCACTCTTCAATAGTAAATCAATCCCCTCAAATTAACATGCTCAGGCACTGTTATTACCTGTGCTGAGAGAATGTGACACCCCGATCACATCAGGTGCGACTGTGCATACGATTTGCATGCCATGCGACTTGCAAACTATATGCCAAGTCGCACCCTATTGGTCGTTTTTACAGTGGTCATATCGGTGTAGTTCTGACTTGATCGGAGCCGTACTGATTTCTAAAGTAGTACATGAACTACTTTTGGTGCGATTTGCATAGACATCTGTGTCAGATGTCTTTCAAATCGCACCTGAAATCGGCATCTCAATTGACTTTGAATAACTTCACTGTAAGTCACAGGATTTCAAAGTCGGGCTTGATGTGACCGGGGGGTTAATCTACATATCATTGTAGAACTAGGAGCGTACACCTGTGTTCACAGCTTCAGGTCTGCACTTATGATCTTACCAATCATGTGATGACCTTAACAACCATTGCAGGTGATCACAGCTGAAGCTAGCAGGTTATCTTTGTCACAGTGCACTTCCTTGTGTAAGAAAAAAGAAGTTAAAAATAAAGTTTAAAACGTTATGTATGTAAAAATTAACAACATGTGTAAAGTACGTATAAAAACTGTAAACAAAGAAAACAAATAAAAACCTTATATGTCCTCAAAAAAAGTTATTTATTTACAAGTTTTATTGTCAAAGCTTCCTGACCAGGCCATTTTTTGCAATACAGCACTGTGTTATTTTAATATTGCGCGGTCATGCAATGCTGTACATAAATGCAATTTAGCTATTTTTTTCCCACAAACAGAGCTTTCTTTTGGTGGTATTTAATCACCTCTGCTTTTTTTTATTTTTTGCGCTAAACAAAAAAAGACCAAACATTTTGAAAAATTTTTTTTTTTTAATTTCTGCTATAAAACACATCCAATAAAAAAATTTAAAAAAATCAAATAGCTTCAGAAATTTAGGCCAATATGTATTCTGCTACATATTTTTGGTAGAAAAAAAATCCCCCTTAACCGTATATTGATTGCTTTGCGCAAAAGTTCTAGCATGTACAAACTATGGCATATATACTGGATTTTTGTATATACTAGTAATGGCGGTGATCAGCGACTTATAGGGGGACTGCGATATTGCGGTGGACAATCAGACACTGACACCAGATGGTACTTTGTGGGATCCCTCCACTCTGCCACTGTCACTACTCCTGTGCAGACTTTACTGTTAACTTTAGGAGTTTACTGCTCCATTCTGCCTTCCCCACATCCTTGACCTGGCCCTAAATGTGAAAATAGGGGGAGGAGCTTAGTGGGCCAGGAACAACATCCATGGGGGCTCTTCTGGGGGGCACAACAGAAAACTGAAAGCTCAACACCCCCCTAGCTCAGGCTATGATATGAAATAAGTACTCCAAAATCTTTTTGCTCTGTAGTGCTGGTCAACACTGTACCCCCAATATTGCAAGTGATTACTTTTCCTTAGGTGAAATGTTTTACATTTAAGCTTGGTTCACATATATGCATTTTGCATTTGATGATTTCTCCAGTGCTTTTTTTAGTTTGTTTTGCGTTTTGCATTTTTTTCAACTCTTCTTTTTTGGTTAAAGTGGAATTTTTTTTGTTGCTGGGCAGAATAAAAATGCAAAACGCGGCAAAAACGCACTACCATGCACTTTAGCTGCCTCTTTATTGAACTCTAATGTAGCAAAAAACGCTGCTTTTTGCTTTTAAAAAAAGTCCCTGACCCTTTTCAAAAATGCAGCAGCTCAACAAAGCATAGAAAACCATGTTAAATGGACTGTAGTGCATTTCTGCAAAAAGCACTTATAAAATGCATTGGTGTGAACGGAGCCTTGGAAACATTGAACTGCAGTTTCCATTGCTTTGACAAAATCTGCCAGCAATGCCAAATCGCGCTCCATATTAGAGACATTTCCAGGGATGTTAACCCTATTGCACACCCTTGTGTCATCAACAAAAATACCCTACCCACCAACCCTTCAGTTATATCACTTACAAATACACTGCTCAAAAAAATGAAAGGAACACTTTTAATCAGAGTATAGCATCAAGTCAATTAAACTCCTGGGATATTAATCTTGTTCATTAAGTAGCAGAGGGGGTTATTAATCAGTTTCAGATGGTTTAGTGTTAATGAAATTAACAACAGGTGCACTAAATGGGCAACAATGAGACAACTCCCAAAACAGAAATGGTTTTACAGGTGGAGGCCACTGACATTTGTTTCCCTACTCATCTTTTCTGACTGTTTTTCACTAGTTTTGCATTTGGATAGGGTCAGTGTCACTACTGGTAGCATGAGGTGATACCTGGACCCTACAGAGGTTGCACAGGCAGTCCAACTCCTCCAGGATGGCACATCAATAAGTGCCATTGCCAGAAGGTTTGCTGTGTCTCCCAGCACAGTCTCAAGAGCATGGAGGAGATTCCAGGAGACAGGCAGTTACACTAGGAGAGTTGGACAGGGCGATTGAAGGTCCTTAACCCATCAGCAGGATCGGTATCTGCTCCTTTGTACAAGGAGGAACAGAATGAGCATTGCCAGAGCCCTACAAAATGACCTCCAGCAGGCCACTGGTGTGAATGTCTCTGACCAATCAGAAACAAACTTCATGTGGGCCCTGATACTTCATGTGGGCCCTGTGCTCACTGCCCGACAACATAAAGCTTGATTGGCATTTGCCATTGAACCCCAGAATTTGGTAGGTCCTCCACTGACGCCCTGTGCTTTTCACAGATGAGAGCAGGTTCACCCTGAGCACATGTGACAGATGTGAAAGGGTCTGGAGAAGCGGTGGAGAATGTTATGCTGCCTTTACCATCGTTCAGCATGACCATTTTGGTGGTGGATCAGTGATGATCTGGGAAGGCATATCCATGGAGGGATGCACAGACCTCTACAGGCTAGACAATGGCACCCAGACTGTCATTAGGTATCGGGATGAAACCCTTGGACCCATTGTCAGACCCTACTCTGGTACAGTGGATCCTGGGTTCCTCCTGGTGCACGACAATGCCTGGCCTCATGTGGCAAAGGTATGCAGGCAGTTCCTGTAGGATAAAGGAATTGATAACATTGAATGACCCCCACGCTCGCCTGACCTAAATCCAATAGAACACCTCTGGCATATCATGTTTCGGTCCATCCAATGCTGCCAGGTTGCACCTCAGACTGTCCAGGAGCTCTGTGATGCCTTGGTCCAGATTTGGAAGTAAATACCCCAGGACACCATCCATCGTCTCATTAGGAGCATGCCCTGACGTTGTCAGGAATGCATATAAGCACATGGGGGGCCATAAAAACTACTATTTTGAGTAGCTGAAATGAAATTTCACCAAAATGAACTAGCCTGCTGCATCATTTTTTCACTTTGATTTTTGGGGCATTTTTGAATTCAGTCCTCTGTAGGTTGATCATTTTTATTTCCATCAAACGATGGAGCATTCTTACATTCCAAACACATTACCCAGTTTATATCAGTATAGATATTCAGCATGATATTTTTCCCCATTGAGATCTGATGTGTTTTTGAAGTGTTCCTATAATTTTTGTGAGCAGTGTAGATTAAATAGAACAGGACCTAGTACAGAGCCTTGTGGTATACTGCTAGTGATAAGTTTCTGTTCCAAGTGATCCCCATTTACAACCTACACTCTGGTCTATCCTTTAGCCAACTGCATATTCACTGAACTACCCAAGGGTGAAGTCCTAGCTTGTACAAGTTTTTTATTAGATTATTATGTGGAACTATATGAAATGCTTTGCTGTAATCAAGATAGGCTGTGTCCACAGCACCACCCTGGTCCAAAGCATTATAGTAAAAAAAAAATATGCAATTACATTAGTCTGACATGATCTGCCCTTAGTAAAGCCATGCTGCTTTGGGTCCAGCAAATTGAACGTTTTTAAAGTGTTACTAAACCCAGGACCCTGCATTCACTACATCTGGTCTCCCACAGTACACACAACATGGAGGTGCAATTATTTTAGTAAATATAAACTGCTAAATACCTTTTCTCATCAGCAGTTAGAGCAGTCTTCTGACTTCTATCTGTGTCCAGCCCACCACTAGTTAAAGCTTGTAGGAGGAGTTTTCTTTCTGCTCTAGGAGGATGGAAATCCCCTGACCTCTGTCTGGACAGTGCTGATTGGCCCTGTGCTAATCACATGCACTCTCCCAAGAAAAAAAAAAAAAAAACCTCTAGCAATACACACCAAACTGAGCATGTGCATGCCTACAGTTCAGTCTGGAAATAAGAGGTGGTCACTTGAAAAAGGGGAGTAACAGAAAAGAAAGGATCAAACAGTCTTTTTACACAATGCAGAGGATTAACCCCTTAGGTATCACAGTG